CTCTATCCCACCTGTGTCGGTTTAGGTATGGTGATGCAATTTCCTGATAAACAAACCCATCCCTACTTAAAGGTTAGGAACCATTTAACTCGCGACGTGCGTAAGCTTTCGTCGAATACCTTGGGAATAAGGGCGAGCTTATTTTAAAGCTCTTACGTTACTCATGTCAGCATTATCAAGAGGATGTTTGTAAAGCATCCCACGAATTGCTACCCAACAATTGGCAAGACAACCAAATTGTTGCTATGGCTAAAGTATATAACATAAGACCCGAGCATTAACGACAATATGGCCTGACGATTAATAGTCGCCCCCTCAGCATTTTCCGAGTTGGACCTTCCTTGTAGTGTTACCTACTCTCTCAAGGGTAGCTATTTCCAAGCTTACGTTATGAAGTTCTTAACCGGTTGATTGTCTTAAATTCACTGAGTTCTAATTTAGGAACTTTAGCCTATAGATGGAGTTGTTTCTCTCTAGACCGGGGGGCTTCGCCCTATCGGACTATTTTTTGATTGCTTTCGCCCTCTTCCTACCCATTTTGAGTTACCCAATACAAGAAAGGGTGTGCTATATCAAGTAGGGGTATAAATAGTCTTGGTTCTAACAAACCTTTCGCAAATAACCAGCTATATCCAAGTTCGATAAGCATTTCACTACCAACCGCGATTCTTCCAGCGATATTGCAACATCGTCTGGTACGGTCTATTTACCTGATCACGGTTAGATCACTTGGCTTCGGGTATATTAATTGGAACTTCATTTAAGGTATTCACTCGACTTTTGCCTTGCTCCAAGTTAATAACTCACTGCGAGTACCCCATGGCTCAGACTATACCTTCAACTCCTCCAAACAATTTAACTCTTCCCCCTATTTGTATAGAAGGTGACTCAAAAAAAAAGGTTTAATAAGTCCTACCACTTCTTTAAGAGATTCTGGATCAAAAACAATGTGGTATCGACCCCGCGTATAAGTGGGACCACAATTAACCTTAAAATTTTTGCGGATTGCATCACACAAAATATTTTGGTCATCTAGCGTAAAATTCCTACATGCAATAACAATACAGTCATAATCAAATAAGCAAGAGCTTCAGCCGTTAGATAGTCTCGGGTACTCTTTTTATCCCGTCGAGATCCAAAAACAGATTAAAACAAGGCTAAGTCAATGTTTTCAATTTAGAAGCAACATTAATAACCTCATCTTTGTTTCTAGTATCGACGGATGTGGTTTTAATCAGCCTTGCTCCACAAAAATCTTGCAGGAGCTCAAACAAATGGGAAGCCTAAGCCTCTTGTGGTGCCCCGTAAGAGAATTCCTACCGAGTATTCCCGTTAGGTGTTCTCCTATTTGCAACAACGTTCCCTAGCATTAGTCCACAAATTATGCTTTTAAGACGGTCAGGCTAGACTAGCCCCGCTTTTGCGGCTGTCCGATAAACCCTCGTTAGGGTGTATGCCCCCTAACTCCCAACACAGAAAAGACCCAAAGGCACACCAGCAGGAAGGAAAGCAGCACTTTTAATGAACTAAAAGGCTGGGAAAACTCGTAATAAAAATTGTAATAAAGGCAGCTGTAACAAAAGGGGCAGAATTCGAGGTGTCAACACCCAGAGCATATAGCTCAAATTAGACCATAGAGGAATAACACATAAGCTAAAAATAATGTTCTTTAGGTTCCATCAATCCGTAAGGCAAAAAAAAAATCCACGACCAGTTTGTTAATGTTAAATGCCGGCGTATTACAAAAAGTATTTCAACTTCTCGTCAGATGTGTTAGGACATCTAGTCGTTACAGGGCTATATAGAAGGGAAATATTAACCCAAAGCGATTACTTATGGGCAAAATATTTAGCAACAATCTATAAGCTTCCCACGGGATCCCCTTGCTGAATAACAGCTTTTGCAGGTTCCCCGTTAGCCAAAGGACAAAACCCTTTGACCCAGCACTATGTGCCGATGAGCCGGTTTCAAAAGAATCTCACAAATCTTTTCGGGCGAGTAATGTCCACCCCTTATGCAATAGGTAAATAGTTACGTGTTTTGGTGTGAACCTAACTACGCTTCTATCTAAATGGACTAATTGCTTCAGGTTATATTTCACCGCTCATTTGAGCTACTTTATTCAACTTTTCCTCTCGGTACTTTACTCTATCGCTTAAATCAATTTTACTCAGCTATGGCACCCTAGCGCCTGGTTAGAAAGAGTTCCGCCCCTTGGGAATCTCCTTTTCTTGGCTTCAATTTGCCCTAATTTAGCGGCATACGTCCCGCCTGTATTAGTAAAGGGTCGAGATAACACAACCCTTAGCGCTTTTATCTTTTCGCTCTTCACTACTAAGAGAGTTACGTTTATTCGTTTCTTTTGCCAGCTACTTAGATATGTCAGTTCACTGGCTGTTGTCATCTTATGCGCCAGCCCTCCCATTATGAGATCTGCTGGTCACCTTGTAATTCCTTTTGGCTTTCACCTCTGGATATAGCTCATATTTTAGCTAATAATCTAGTCATCTTATAAAATACTTTGCCTTTTAACTTGAGCCTGATGGCTTCCAGACTTTTAAATTGATAAGCAAGTCATTCACATTTAGTCCTTTTTCTGCTATTTCCCCTCCTTATTGATCGGAGGTTCACCCCCCATGATCCATCCCAATATTACTTGTCTCAGGTTCAATTGTGACATATAAGATAATGTGAAAAGCCTCTTCTTCCGCAAAAGATATAGATCAATTATTATAATTTAACTAATAAATATTATTTAAGTTCATCTGATACTATTTAATTGATACAGAAATAAATAGTAATACTTTAAGTAAGGGGAAGAATGAAGATTGCGTGAGCATCGAATTAGATTAAATAGAACATTCATATAAAGTTCTAGAGGATTTTAAATAGATCAACGAGATAGAATAAATCGAGAGATAATAAGTAAACATTAAAATATATAATTGTACAGTAAATTGTTAACAACGAAGTTATTGGGAATAGTTCTCGAAGAATAATATTGTAATCCCTATAAAATAAAGTAAAGTTAATCTTAAATAATTACTAGTTATTTTAGAAGTATTCTAATACTAATAATACCACCTAATACGATTAACATTGGTAATATTATCTAGAATATTAAGTAGACAGAGGTCAGAGTTGAGAGTAAGAGAACCTAAATTATTTAACCTTTATAGTACCAATTAGATAAAAATCTATACAGCTACTAAGTTCTATCCTAAGTAGTCTAATAAAAAGTAAGAATGAAATACTAATATATTATTCATGTTAACTTGGAATTTCTACCTAAATAGTGTTACAATTATAAATCTAGTCCCCTTAGATGCTCGTGTATCAGCACCCAGTTTAGATATTGGCTAAAATATAAAAATTTATCTATAAGGCATTTAATCTTCTCTAATGGTATTAAAATTTGGAATATAGGTTAATAAGTAGATAGTAGTTAATCCAATAATAAATACCTAATGCCAAACCGGAAATAGCGCTCTAAAACCAACAATTAATACAATGGTGACTAGAATATTATATAATGGAGAAAATAAACCAAGTACCTGCAAAGACTAAAACCGCAAATTCGACAGAGTCATCAGTTAAATATTAGCATGATTCGTCAGCCTAGATTGAAATGATTTGTAGCAATTGAACAATTACCAATTCTTTAGTAAAAGGAAGAAGGTATATTGAGGTAGTTTATTTATGGTCCTATCCTTTGTAGCCATTTATTAATCAAGCAATTACAATCAGCCAATAAAATAGGTGCTACCGTTGAGGTTCCGGTCCGGCCTAGGCCAAACCTCCACAACAGATCAAATGGTTCATTCTACAGTAAACATCTACCTAAATAGATCATATTAATAAGACTATTTGATAAGCAGTACGAGTGGTATGCTAATTCAGTGCATCATAATGTTTATATATTGAGATAAGCTTAACCTAGCTCCGAAGGAGTTGATGCCAGTGGTCGTGTCAATCGGTTGCTTACCCCAGAGACGCAACCTCATTCACTTCAATTCACCTCAGGCCGGCTAGGCATATTATCTTATAACAAACTAAGAATAAAAGAGAATGAACGAAGTGAATCAAAAGTATAAAATCAAATAAAAGCAAGATTTCAGATTGTTTGCTACCATCTATTCAGCCTTCCCTCTGAAGAGATTTGGGTCCATATAAAGCCGCTGGAGGTCTGAGTCTTTACATTGGACTAAGCCGTTTCACTCGCTTGCAGCTCCAATTGGAGCTTTAACTTATATCTTAGGTTCCATATTAATCATTTTCCTATTTATACACCTTGTAAAAGAAGAAACCACTCATTCAGATGAGTTAGAATAATTTAGAACGCGTATTCATAGTTATATACCATTTTATTAGCCAGATTAGGAAGTAGTAATAGTTAATTGTTTATTTGGGCCCAGGTAATCAGGAATAAATCAAGTTATTAGTCTAGGGATAAAATTGATCCAGAAATAGAAGAACAAGTAAAGTATTTGTAGTTTAACTAATGTCGTAAAAGGTATGATTGCTGGCTATAATTATTGCTATAGGGCCCGTTCAACCATTTATTCGGCCCGTTCGATCGTTAGGAGGGCCCAATTATTAGAAACAAGGGGCCTTGCTTAGCCTAAATAGGTTAGTTATAGTTACTTTACCTATAGTCGCTAGCTAGATCCTTATTCACTGCTTGCCGCTCCGCGAAGTTATTTATTGCTTTGTTACAAACTCTTTACGTTCGTACTAATATTTCTTTAGGTTTGTATAACTTTCTTTCCTTCTTTATATCTACTAGCTGCTCAATTTGACCTACACCATCTTTGTGAGCTATTACTAATAAGACTTACCCACATCTAATCATACGGTAATATCATTTAAATATCTGACTAGACATTACGTACTCTAGGACATTCTCAATGATACAAAATAACCAACTGCGGATTAGTGTAATAGTAACATATTTGGCTCATGACCGACTGATAGAGGTGCAAATCCTTTGTCCGCATTATGAGGCTATAGCTTAATTGGTAAAGCATACTGCTCAGAACGGTCGTTAGAAGTGTTCAAGTCACTTTAGCCTTAAACCTAAAACACGGCGAATAAAAGCTTCGATTTGATTTTAAGATTTCTCCTTTAGCGCGAAACTAGTCAATTACCGAATCCACTTATTTATACTAGCATAATAAATGAGAATACCATTATCACGATATGAGATCGTCTAAAGACTTTCTTGATCAAAAATGACATAATCTCAACGATCAAAGCGCGTCGTGGCGTAGGCACCCCCTTCGGGGGGGCCGGCCACGGAGCGACCGGGGCTTTGCCCCTACGTCGCGTCAGCCTACTTCGTTTATCTCCATCTCTCCGAATCTGACAGATACACCCTTTCCTAAAGACACAGACTTGCTAGAACTAGATCTCAGTTTATTCTTCTCTTAATTGATAATAGACCCAACCTAAGATTGTTGGATTAGAACTTTTCAATTGAACAGGAACTACAGGAGATTATATCACCATTGTTTTAATTAGGAGCAGTAGTACTCGTGATTTTAGCATAAAACTATTAACATTATAAATAGCCCATTTACATAAGGAGATTATAGAAGAGTAATTACTCAATAATTGCCATTCCATTTTGAGCTAGGTTAGCCATTAAAGGGGGGGTGGCCGCAATTAATCTAAGGATTTAAAGGAATAAGCTTATTAATCTGGTACCTTGGGTCAATTCAAACTCGTGGCTGCGACAGAGGCTAGGAGCCTAGGTCGCTATGGTGAAGGACTCTCTGGGCTGCCAGAGGCAGCTACCTCAAAAGGATAATTTAATTAGAACACGATGAAAAGTAAATCAAATACCTTCTCTAAAAGGAGGAGATGGGATATCATTTTTGAGTGGATGTGTAATTGATCGAATCGAGCAATTAGGTATGATAACATTGCCTATAATAATAATCAATAAAGTTGATGAAACGATCTAGAATAGGATCAACTAAGTTGATCTAACCGTCTAAAATGAAATAAGCCCGTGGAGGTGATATACCTCGAAAGGTTGACCTGTTTTATGTTTAGGAGTTGACACTATCAACAACCACGTTGTTCGAGGTTGTGTAGAATGGTAGCAGTTTCAGGTTCTAGATTAACAGTTTGGTTAGCGTCACAATTTAATTTATTTTGGTCGCTCTATGAGCGATTCCTCTACGTTTCCTTTCAAAGTTCTAATATGAATTGACATGATTTCATCTATTCCAAGAAGGTAGCATTATAAGCGACGGATTAGTCGCTTCCCCTGGGCGCCTCCACGATCGTGCTAAAGGTCACCTATTTCTAACCGGTTCAGACCTCTTTTCAACATTTTAGACCTCCCGTATCTAGATCTTACTTATCGATCTAAAAGATCGAGACACTCAAATAAATAAATAGATCGACCTAGTCAATTCTAGAATCAAGTGAGATTGAAATTTAGTAATTGAGCCTAGATGCTCCTGAGCTCTCGGAAGTTATAAAGATCGAGTGAGGACCTGCCATATGTTTATTATTGAAACTCCTTTTATTTTAATCATAAGTAGAAAACCTTTAAAAAGTATGTAAGCTGAATAACCCGTAATCATTTGGAACTACTTCCAATAATATTCCTGTAATAATTTTAAGTTAATGGATGAGTTAACAGTTCAGAACATGAGGAAGTTATCTAGAATAAGAGGCTCTCGACACCTTACGGACCAGAAACTATGTAATTGATAAATGAGCAGGAAGGTTGTGCATCATTCTTTATAAGCGGTTACGCCTATTCCAAACGGATTCATCAAATCCGAGCTAGCTCGCGTTGAACTTCTACTAGACCAATCTCAGTTAATCGTAGAGGTTCAAGACTGTATACAATTTTGAAGCGTATCGTAGTCCTTTTGTTAAACTCAGGTGATAGTTGCTTGACCTCATCAAGATCAATCTATCTTGTTTCCTATTTCTTAAGTCTTTTTATTTCTTTATCAATTGCTTTGACTTTAAACCAGCTTAGCTGGGTCTCTTAGTTAACAATCTTTATATTGTCTAAATTAGCCAAAGCGGCGAATGAGCGTACTTTATAGAACCATTTGTAGTGAACGAGTTCGCGTCTCGCAGGGTAAGCGAACGACGGACACGGTACCTTTTTAATTAGTCTTTGAGGTGTAGATGTGGTGATAAATTGATCTTCAACCAAAGGTAAGAGGCTTGTTATCATTATTCATGAATTAATTGAAGCAACATTACCTGTTATGATTACAGCTAAGTGGTACCTCAAATTAAGCCCAAAGACTGATGGGAACTTAATCATATCTGAATTAGTTATAGCTATTGGATGTTTAAGATTAATAATGGATCAGCAATTTCAATATGAACAACTTTGAAGAAACCTTAGTATAAGATAGAGATAGACAGAAAGAAGTCAAAGAAAGGGATCAATAAATTGATCCGAGACTCTTTAGAGAAATACCATAGCTAGACAATATATTCTGAATAATTACTTTTAGTGCCGCTACATGTAACCTTGTACAAGTTTCTTTGAAATGGAAAATGAGATCCAGATCAATGAATATTGGGAGATAGCTAATCATTATTGTAAGTTCACCTACATAGGTAGTTGTGTTAAGCAGATAACCCTTCCTGATCGATTTGAATACAGCTTTAAGCTCACTTTATAATACTTATACCTATTTATAGAGTATAGCTGCCGAGGAGCCTAGGTTGATGGTGTACCACCCCCCGCCAGGAGCGTAGCTCCTGTCGGCCCCCTCAGAGGGGTCCTTTGAATATCTGTCACTTTGATCGATAATGATGCGCAATTGGACCCACGTAGTGGGCGGCCCTTTAGGTAGGAAGGGCCGAATAAGCGAAAAGAAAAACTAACAACTTAGATAAATTAACTTAATTCGGGTCCTTAACGGATTTGGTTGAATCGGGCGGCGCGTCAGCTCGCGCCTAGCGACGCCCTAACGAAATCTCAATTATTGAATCCGCAACCGCTCAAGTTACTTGATAACCACATGCTATTATTTTGCACCTATCTACATATCTTTAACTACTAAGTTTTGGTATGGATTAATGTAAGAGCTAGGTTGGTTGTTTAGAATGTGGTATTGCATCCCCATTGGTCTATTTACCAACTTAATTACCCTCATATACCAGGAAAAGGAGAAATCTATCCATATAAGACAATCTTCGATTATTCCCTACGTAATGATCCTCTTAGAGGGTTGCCACCTTGTAAAATAAAAATATCCCATAATCTTCAGCTAACTAAGTTAGCCTAGCTGGTAGTAGGGAATAGATCATCACTCTATTATAAGCTAGAAGACCATTAGGAGACAACCAGGGTTGTTAAATAACCATAAAAAAATGAGTAATATCCTTCATTAACTAAAGCAATCTTAGATCACAGTCTGAAAATAATATTGATAGCCTCTTGTTCAATTTGGATTTCATTAAGAAATAACTTATAGGGCCTCCGCTCAGGCTACGCCTTTTACTAGAAGCTTCGGCCCAGACAAACTCATCAAGTGTTTTATCAATTAAGTATAGCAATCATAGTACAGTTGCAAAGCAACTTATAGGAATAGGTTCTAAGCGGCGGAGCGAAGCGCTCATGCGATCAAATCATAGGATAAAGGGTGATCTAGGAGGGTCTAGTCCCATAACCATCGATATCTGATATGGTCTTTTTTCTATTCAGTGGTTTTGAGGGATTAGATAGAAAATAGAGCTGGAATTGTCAATAAGATGAGCTAGCAGACTAAAAAATCCAAAACTACAATTATTTCGCACTCATGGGGGTTAGGCTCTGTATTAGATCGCTAGGAGTTGCTCCTCATCTCGAGCAGAAATCGCAAAGAAGATGAGGCTCAACCACCAAATCCAGGGCGCGCGCAGCGGCGTCATTCTCATAGGTGCGGGGGTGATTCTGTAAGGACGTCGCTGAACGTGAGCGGCGCGACGTCGCCGATTTCTATTTGCCGTCTCCGGTGGTTTATTCTAATGATCCAGGTTTGAGCAATCTATGATTGCTTGTAGTAAGTTACAATTCAATCAATAGCTACTTCATTTTATGTGATGATTCTAAAGACGTTATAGTTACTCATCAACTCAATTTTAAATGTAGAAATTTGATCTAATCGAATCTTCCCAAATTGTCGTAAGGATACGGCCATAGGAAGGATCAACAATTGCTTCACATAATTAACAGCAATCAATTGAGTAAAGACAGAGGGTTACATTCGAGATTATCATTGGAGAGGATATTCTAATATTTAAACTCTAAACTCGATCAGTTATGATCGACTCTTCATAGACTAAGTCTAATTATAATGATCTCTACTTAATCAAGGAGAACCTTTCCTTCTATATAGTAGATGAATGATAACCCTTAATAGGGTGTCTATCTAATGTTTATTAACCTATAAAATGAAGATACACCATCTTTATGTGTCCCCTTCTTCTCGACTTAGTCGATTGTCTATTAACATTTGATCAATTTGTAATTAGTCACGGGCGAATTGTGTGATTTGATGTTGATTTTGAAATGAAGCGCAATGATTTTTAATTAATCACGTTGATCAATTTGTAAGATTTCAAGAGTCTAATATGATTAAAGATTAGAGTAGGGTTTAGCGTCAGCGGGAACCCGCCCCCAGGGCCGGGTTTACCAAATTGGAGCAATGAGCGTGATGAGATTGACAGCATATACATTATTTGATTTAGATCTAGGTTTACTTGGCCAATTACGATGAGGTTCTGATCGCGACGTCGCGTCAGCCCGGTGCTGAGGATAAATTCTATATCCATTAAGTCGCCATTAGAGCTTAGTCTTTTAGATTATTTATATTAAAAATGATTGTAAATTACCAGCTAATGCTCCTACTAGAGTCAAATTATTAGTACATTAAAGGTTTAGTATGAAGATAATTGAGTTTGAGTAGCATATTATTAGGGTAGTATCTGTAATAGGTCATGGTGGATACAATAAGTCTAAACATTATATAGATAGTCTATTTATAGAGAGAATCGGCCGTGAGGGCGATTCCACTGACGTGGTGAATCTACTTTAATCAAGC